GTATGTTTAACATTCATTCAACATAAATGCCAACTTTAAACATGTTGCAGGTGACAGCTGATGTATGTGAAGGCCAATGGAGAAGTGACAGAACCTTGAGCAACATTTAACACCCAGCATGTTACTTCAGCCTCATCAGTTAAGTTACTTATATATATCTTGGCTATTATGGTCATCCCATAAACTACTCAACACCGTGCTTCTACACTCGGCAGTGGAGGGTGTGTGGGGGGCCTGGCTGACTGTGTGATGGAGGGTTCTGGAGGACTGTGTGTGAAGGAGGGCTCTGGAGGACTGTGTGTGAAGGAGGGCTCGTGAGTACTGAGTGGACAGATTGGTCTTCGAGTAAAATTAATATTAGTTGTAGTGACAGTATAAATATACAGGACTACATGCCTATTGGTTATTAGAGAAAATTAGTAGTAGTAGTGGTAGTAGTAGTAAATACAGCAAGTAAAGCAAGTTGTTGTGGGTGGGTTTCAACTAACTTTACTAACCTAACTTAACCAGCCTAAGTTAATTAAACGTAATAACGTAGACTGAACCAAATCCGTAATAAGGTCACCGCGACCCGTAGCTGGGGACGTCAAAGGCTCGGTCGGATTGGTACACCGTCAATGACTCAGCTCATCTTGGAGGGAGGGGGGGGGGTGGCGAGCTACCTCCGGTGTCCTGGCTGAACTGCGAGAGGGGCAACCACTGGTGTCCTGCCTCCCTGCGAGATGGTCGTTGATCTACCCGACCCGTCTTGGGACAACAACCACGGAGTCTAGCATGTGTAGGAGTCGATGGGGTCACTGAGCCCGAAGGCGAGATGAAGGTAACGGGCGCCTGGTGAGTCTTGGGCAGATCCTCAACTGGCTGCCTCTGGCCGTGCACGTGTGGCGTTTGCGTGGTTGAGACCCTTTCCCCCCACTGGGAAAAGGGCCTTCCCCCGCGCATTACCACGTGAGTGCACATGTCGCCGCGCTTCTCTGGGCGCACACGTCGCCACCTCAGCTTGTTTGCAGCTGGGTGGGTGGAGCGGCCCAAAAAGCTCCCATCTCGCCTCCCCATTTTCCCTTCCTTCATATCTTTGAGTTATATATAAAAATAAGTGTTTATGTCTACTTAAATAAATTATATACAATATGCCTATATGCCTATCGATTGATTTTTATCCTAAGAGTTATCTGATAAAAATGTGAATTTATTAGGAAGGTACTGGTATGGAGGGTAGGACATGGAACACTATGAATTAGTGCTTTATTTGTAGTAATAATTATATAAACAAAATGACAACTCATAATTTATGGTTAAGTGAAAAAAAATTGTAGCTGTCGTATTTAATATTTGGTTAGGTAGGTTAAGTTAAAGTTAGGGTAGGTGAGGTTAGGTGAGGCTAGGCTAGGCTAGGTTATTTCCATGTTTTGTGCCAGTTATTCACTGGCAATGGGGGGGCAATTGTACATGAACCAAGCTGTGCAGCTTTTTACAACCATGACGTGCACCAAGTCTGGGGCTGGTGCCCCCACACACTTGGCAAGCTCAAATATTCTGCAAAATAAGTTTTAAAAAGGTTTGTTCAGTTTCTGAAGGGTCACCTCAAAAGACTTGTCAGAAGCATACCAGTATATATATATATATATATATATATATATATATATATATATATATATATATATATATATATATATATATATATATATATATATATCTCTCTCTCTCTCTCTCTCTCTCTCTCTCTCTCTCTCTCTCTATAGATAGATAGATAGAAGGTATGACTGTAGCCTTGTGACTAGCCTACAGTATTTTAGGCCTACTTCAAAATTTTTTTTTTCTGTGTTTTCGATCAACTGATGTAAGTGCACAACAGCATCGTAAAGTATAACCATGTTTTCGTACTCCATTTTTATGGCAAATTTACATTTTTTAAACTATATACACTCTTTGAATATTACTGTATTGTAAAATCCTACAAAACCCATCATACATTTCTTTTGTGATGCATATATGTACAGTAAATGATATTAGTCTGTTCTGCATCCCCTTTGGCCATAGGCATTGGTGATGAAAGCATTATAAAAGCCAATGCTGCTGCTATTGTTATACAGCATTAATTTCTTCTGTTTCTTTCAGAACTATAAAAACAGAGATATAGAAGACCGAAAGCTTAAAAAGACAGGTGGTGGTCCACGAGAAAAAAATATTAAAAGCTTCAGAAGAAATTGCCTTAACAGCATCACTGATGAGGGCCGAGTTAGCAGTGGCTGGTGATTTTTACGAGACCTTCCGCAGTCACCCAGTAGATGAAGAAATAATTCCTTATAGAATGTGCAGATAGGTGAGAATATTTATTGATTTATACAGTTGTATGCGTTCTCATTGATACCATTGCTCAATCGCCTTTGGCTGTGTAAAAATCAAACGGCAGCAGTGACCTACCTTATACTGACTTTTTGCAGTTTTGCCTGTTCCAACCCCAGGGCCATCAACTGTGCTCACCAGTCATTGTTCCTGCCTCGACAGTGAATGCTCCTACCTCACCAGTGAATGCTCCTGCCTCACCAGTCATTGTTGCTTCACCAGTCATTGTTCCTGCCTCACCAGTCCTTGCTCCTGCCTCACCAACACTGGAGCAGGTTCAGGTACATTCAGGAGCCTGGGCATGCGTAACAGACGTGACCAATCGTCCAAGCGGCTAACAAGCCAATCAGTGGTGAATAGGATAAAAGTATATACATGCTGTTAGAAATTTATTTTCTTACATTTTACAATTAAATAATTTGATTTAAAGTAAATAAATCTACATTAATTTATTTTGTCAAAAAATTTCTTAAGTTAAAAAAGCCGTCGGAAGTATAGCGGCTAATATTTTGCTCAAGTTGCCGCGCTTTTCTGGACGCACACGTCGCCGCGCTTCTCTGGGCGCACACGTCGCCGCGCTTCTCTGGGCGCGCACGTCGCCACCTCAGCTTGTATGCGGCTGTGTGGGTGGAGCGACCCAGCGTCAGCGCCTGCTGGCTGCCGCTGTCCAACGGCGTAGGCCGATGACCAGCCAGTAAACCACAGCGCTGGTTTCACCGCTCACTCGCGACGTGCAGAGGGTCGGTGATCCACCCGACCCACCTCGGAACACGGACCACGGAGTCTAGCGTGTGTGGGAGTCGATGGGCTCACTGAGCCTGAAGGCGAGATGAGGGCAACGGACGCCTGGTGCGTCCTGGGCAGATCCTCAACCGGCTGCCTATGGCCACGCCCGCGCGGCGTTTGCCGGGTTGAGACCCCCAGGGTCTCACCCGGCGTATTGCCGCGCGAGCGCGGTCGGGGTGGTTGGTTGGGGGGTCTGCCCAGGACGCACCAGGCGCCTGTTGCCTTCATCTCGCCTTCAGGCTCAGTGAGCCCATCGACTCCCACACACGCTAGACTCCGTGGTCCGTGTTCCGAGGTGGGTCGGGTGGATCACCGACCCTCTGCACATCGCGAGAGCGAACCCCCACAGTCGAGGTGGAGGCGGCGCTCTTCTCTACGACTGTCGTAGGACAGCCAGGATACTGGCGGTTGCCCCCTGTCGTGCGGAACTCCCCCCTCCCCCCACTCAGACGAGCTGAGAGAGTCGGCAGTGGGGTGCCAATCCGACCGAACCTTCGACGTCCCCGGCTACGGGTCGCGGTGACCTACTATGAGGTGAAATACTCCTGATTAGTCCATGAGAAATCAAAGCCTCACACGCTTTGGTCTCTCGGCGCACACGTCGCCACGCTTCTCTGTGCGCGCACGTCGCCACGCTTCTCTGGGCGCGCAAGTCGCCACGCTTCTCTGGGCGCGCACGTCGCCACGCTTCTCTGGGCGCGCACGTCGCCACGCTTCTCTGGGCGAACACGTTCCAGCAGTTTTTCTCTGGGCGTGCACGTAGCCATTACAGTTTCCGTCACAGCATATGCTGCAGCCTTCAATGCAGTGGCCCATCGTGTCTTGACCGAGATTTATTCCACCAGTCAATGCGATAACAGCTCGTGGTTCAACATGACCGGGGTGCATGTCTCATTCTACTAAGAATAGTTCTTGCCACAAACTCGAAGCAAACAGGGTGACCCATTCTATCCTCACCTAACAATTGATGATAGTGGGTCCCACCCGCTTGAGCCCATGTCCCCACAAATGATAAAGGTTGAGCTAGTCTTGGGGCACCTGCGTTAACATTTGATAGATATACTGCCCCACTCAAACTTCACACCAAATATTGAGCGGCATGCCGACTCATCGGCGCACGCTTCTCTGGGCGCACACGTCGCCACCTCGGTTGGGTGGGTGGAGCGGCCCAAAAATGTTTGGGCGCGACCCCACACACACGCCGTCGTCCAACGGGCGTGTTTCGCCTCGTAGTAGGTGACCTTGACCAAGCATCCATTACCCAGCGCATAGCAGGTCTACTAGCAACACAATAAATGCGGAAAAGAGAGGCCTGGGGTGAAATTGCTGCCTCATTCAACGCCAGCAACTCTGACCAACTCCCTCGCACAGCCAAGCAGCCGTTTGATTTTTAGACATCCAAAGGAGATTGAGCAATGGGAGTGCATACAACTGTATAAATCAATAAATATTCTCACCTACCTGCACATTCCACAAGGAATTATTTCTTCATCTACTGGATGATTGCGGAAAGTCTCGTAAAAATCATCAGCCACTGCTAACTCGGCCCTCAAGTTTTCGGTCTTTTATATCTCTGTTTTTATATTTCTGAAAGAAAGAGAAGAAATTAATGCTGTATAGCAATAGCAACAGCATTGGCTTTTATAATGCTTTCATCACCAATGCCTATGAGCAAAGGGGATGCAGAACAGACTAATATCATTTACTGTACATATATGCATCACAAAAGAAATATATGACGGTTTTGTAGAATTTTACAATACAGCAATATTTAAAGGGCCTGTAGACAGTTTTAAAACCTGTAAATTTGCCATTAAAAATTGAGTACAGAAACATGGTTATACTTTACGATGCTGTTGTGCACTTACATCAGTAGATCGAAAACAAACAAACAAAACATTTTTTGAAGTAGGCCTTAAATACTGTAGGCTACAGTCATATCTGCAAAAAAATTATTATATGATAATATATATAGATATGAGGATTTGTATGCTTCTGACAAGTCTTTTGAGGTGACCCTTCAAAAATTGAACAGACCTGTTTGAAACTTGTCTTGCCAGAATATTTGGGCTTGCCAGGTGTGTGGGGGAACCAGCCCCAGACTTGCACATTTTTCTTGGTGCACGTCGTGGTCGTAAAATGTTGCTATATAGAGTTATATGCTGCATAGCTTGGGTCTAGGACAATTGGCCCCCCCCATTGCCAGTGAGTAACTGGCACAAAACATGGAAATAACCTAACTAACTTGAAATAGCCTAGCCTAGCCTTACCTAACAAAATATTAAATATGACCGATCTACAATTTTTTTTCACTTGACCATAAATTATGAGTCGTCATTTTGTGTATATAATTATTACAAAAAAAAGCATGAAAATATAGCACTATATCTTAGTGTTCCATGATTGTGTCAGTTATTCACTGGCAAGGAAGGGGGGGGGAGTAATTGTCCAGAGGGCAGTTGTCCTATGTGGGGGGGGGAGGGGGGGTAATTGTTCTGAAACCATATAGCTTGTATATAGTCAGGGTAAAAATTGGCATTACAGATTTCAAACAAGAGAACCTAAAAGTATGGCAGAGGCACCTATTTACTGTTATACCCTCCATACCAGTACCTTCCCTATGAATTCACATTTTTATCAGATAACTCTTAAGAGAAAAATCAATCAATAGGCATATAGATATTATGAAAGACATAAAAAACCCATTTAATTTTATATACAACTCAGAGATATGAAGGAAGGGAAAATGGAGAGGTGAGATGGGAGCTTTCCTTCTGTCTACTTCGGTAGGAGGCGAGCTTCCTCACATGACCCGTCACTTAAATACTCTAATCCTACTTAATTTAGTAACCTAATGGAAAAACACCGTACATTAATAAGCATATACTATACTTCCTTTTTAAGTGTCCGTAGCTCCTCTTGAGCTGCTTGGCTGTGCGAGGGAGTTGGTCAGAGTTGCTGGCGTTGAATGAGGCGGCAATTTCACCCCAGGCCTCTCTTTTCTGCATTTATTGTGTTGCTAGTAGACCTGCTATGCGCTGGGTAACGGATGCTTGGTCAAGGTCACCTACTACGAGGCGAAACACGCCCGTTGGACGACGGCGTGTGTGTGGGGGCGCGCCCAAACATTTTTGGGCCGCTCCACCCACCCAACCGAGGTGGCGACGTGTGCGCCCAGAGAAGCGTGCGCCGACGAGTCGGCATGCCGCTCATTATTTGGCGTGAAGTTTGAGTGGGGCAGTATATCTATCAAATGTTAACGCAGGTGCCCCAAGACTAGCTCAACCTTTATCATTTGTGGGGACATGGGCTCAAGCGGGTGGGACCCACTATCATCAATTGTTAGGTGAGGATAGAATGGATCACCCTGTTTGCTTCGAGTTTGTGGCAAGAACTATTCTTAGTTTGCTCGAGTACTAGAATGAGACATGCACCCCGGTCATGTTGAACCACGAGCTGTTATCGCATTGACTGGTGGAATAAATCTCGGTCAAGACACGATGGGCCACTGCATTGAAGGCTGCAGCATATGCTGTGACGGAAACTGTAATGGCTACGTGCACGCCCAGAGAAAAACTGCTGGAACGTGTTCGCCCAGAGAAGCGTGGCGACGTGCGCGCCCAGAGAAGCGTGGCGACGTGCGCGCCCAGAGAAGCGTGGCGACGTGCGCGCCCAGAGAAGCGTGGCGACGTGCGCGCCCAGAGAAGCGTGGCGACGTGCGCGCCCAGAGAAGCGTGGCGATGTGTGCGCCGAGAGACCAAAGCGTGTGAGGCTTTGATTTCTCATGGACTAATCGGGAGTATTTCACCTCATAGTAGGTCACCGCGACCCGTAGCCGGGGACGTCGAAGGTTCGGTCGGATTGGCACCCCACTGCCGACTCTCTCAGCTCGTCTGAGTGGGGGGGAGGGGGGAGTTCCGCACGACAGGGGGCAACCGCCAGTATCCTGGCTGTCCTACGACAGTCGTAGAGAAGAGCGCCGCCTCCACCTCGACTGTGGGGGTTCGCTCTCGCGATGTGCAGAGGGTCGGTGATCCACCCGACCCACCTCGGAACACGGACCACGGAGTCTAGCGTGTGTGGGAGTCGATGGGCTCACTGAGCCTGAAGGCGAGATGAAGGCAACAGGCGCCTGGTGCGTCCTGGGCAGACCCCCAACCAACCACCCCGACCGCGCTCGCGCGGCAATACGCCGGGTGAGACCCTGGGGGTCTCACCCGGCAAACGCCGCGCGGGCGTGGCCAGAGGCAGCCGGTTGAGGATCTGCCCAGGACGCACCAGGCGTCCGTTGCCCTCATCTCGCCTTCAGGCTCAGTGAGCCCATCGACTCCCACACACGCTAGACTCCGTGGTCCGAGGTGGGTCGGGTGGATCACCGACCCTCTGCACATCGCGAGAGCGAACCCCCACAGTCGAGGTGGAGGCGGCGCTCTTCTCTACGACTGTCGTAGGACAGCCAGGATACTGGCGGTTGCCCCCAGTCGTGCGGAACTCCCCCCTCCCCCCCCACTCAGACGAGCTGAGAGAGTCGGTAGTGGGGTGCCAATCCGACAGAACCTTCGACGTCCCCTGCTACTGGTCGCGGTCACCTACTACAAGGCGAAACACGCCCGTTGGACGACGGCATGTGTGGGGGCGCGCCCAAACATTTTTGGGTCGCTCCACCCACACAGCCGCATACAAGCTGAGGTGGGCGACGTGTGCGCCCAGAGAAGCGCGGCGACGTGTGCGTCCAGAGAAGCGCGGCGACGTGTGCGCCCAGAAAAGCGCGGCAACTTGAGCAAAATATTAGCCGCTATACTTCCGACGGCTTTTTTAACTTAAGAAATTTTTTGACAAAATAAATTAATGTAGATTTATTTACTTTAAATCAAATTATTTAATTGTAAAATGTAAGAAAATAAATTTCTAGCAGCATGTATATACTTTTATCCTATTCACCACTGATTGGCTTGTTAGCCGCTTGGACGATTGGTCACGTCTGTTACGCATGCCCAGGCTCCTGAATGTACCTGAACCTGCTCCAGTGTTGGTGAGGCAGGAGCAAGGACTGGTGAGGCAGGAACAATGACTGGTGAAGCAACAATGACTGGTGAGGCAGGAGCATTCACTGGTGAGGTAGGAGCATTCACTGTCGAGGCAGGAACAATGACTGGTGAGCACAGTTGATGGCCCTGGGGTTGGAACAGGCAAAACTGCAAAAAGTCAGTATAAGGTAGGTCACTGCTGCCGTTTGATTTTTACACAGCCAAAGGCGATTGAGCAATGGTATCAATGAGAACGCATACAACTGTATAAATCAATAAATATTCTCACCTATCTGCACATTCTATAAGGAATTATTTCTTCATCTACTGGGTGACTGCGGAAGGTCTCGTAAAAATCACCAGCCACTGCTAACTCGGCCCTCATCAGTGATGCTGTTAAGGCAGTTTCTTCTGAAGCTTTTAATATTTTTTTCTCGTGGACCACCACCTGTCTTTTTAAGCTTTCGGTCTTCTATATCTCTGTTTTTATAGTTCTGAAAGAAACAGAAGAAATTAATGCTGTATAACAATAGCAGCAGCATTGGCTTATATAATGCTTTCATCACCAATGCCTATGACCAAAGGGGATGCAGAACAGACTAATATCATTTACTGTACATATATGCATCACAAAAGAAATATATGACGGTTTTGTAGGATTTTACAATACAGTAATATTCAAAGAGTGTATATAGTTTAAATAATGTAAATTTGCCATAAAAATGGAGTACAAAAACATGGTTATACTTTACGATGCTGTTGTGCACTTACATCAGTTGATCGAAAACACAGAAAAAACATTTTGAAGTAGGCCTAAAATACTGTAGGCTAGTCACAAGGCTACAGTCATAC